AACGCGTGGACCCTGGCAGCCCGGCGGAACGATCCGGTCTGAGGCCAGGTGATCACGTAGTCTTCGTCGATATGACGAACGTAGTGACGCGATCACGGGAAGAGATTCTTGGACTGATCCAGGCGGCCACGAATCAACTGATTTTGGAAGTTTATCGTAAGGGGAACGTTCATTCGTCGATGCACCGGCCTAACTCGATGAACGTTAGTCTGCAGCAATCGATCGGTGGCGGACATCATGCGGTTGCGTTTAACGCCGAGGTCGGTACAGGCGTCCTAGTCTGAACATAGCAAACTCGTATCGAAGTTGTTTCGTTCGAATGATCGGAGGACGATTTGCTCGGATATGCGCGGTCGAAAAGGCTTTGGTTGCTCGTGATTTCGCTTGACTTACTTTTACTTTTCATATCATTCTTCCATTCGCGGTTTCGACTAGATTAATGGACTTTGTTGAAATCGCAGAGTAGCGTTGATCAAAATGTTTTGCGTGCTAGTTTAATAAGTTGTATCGAATTGAAAATTCGCTTTGAATTCGAATCGATCGGATGTTACCTACTCCTTGAACCAAGTTCTCGCAAGCCGCAGCGGGCTGCATTTTCTTTCGAGCTTATTTTTATGTTTCACGTTGCACGCCATGTCGCGCGATACTCGTGTACATTCATTTCCGTGACTATCTTGTATTTTGCTGCGAACGCGTAATGTATAGCGCGTGTCCGTTTCCTTTGTCGGTGGACACGGTTAAGTTATGATACAGTTATGTTTTATTATGTAACTTGAACGGTTGTCTTTCTTTTTTTTGTTGCTCAACAAGTTCTGTTTAAAAGCATTTCTCGTATTTTATTTATTTATTTCATCCCTATCCCCTTAATGCTAAGACACGTCTTGCGTTGCGTCGTCTGAACAATCCGAATGGAGATACATAGAATCCGCTTGCAGAGCATGAACCGAGAACAACGATAGATTTACGTAAAAATTGTCTGCATGCGATGCCGCACAATTGCAAACCTTTTCCTCGTTTAAAATCGAACGAATGCCACGGCTTTTGCGATTGAACGCGTTCAGGTGTTTCCAAACCTCGCCCCGGATGCACCACCGGAGGAGGAGTTGTCCGTGCGTGAAACACGGTACTGGGGAATCCTGAAAAGCGGTCAAACGCGTTTTCTGGCGCCTTTAGCCGAGAGACGCGATGTTCTCTCCGCGGCGGATTACTTGATCCTCTTCCAAAATCTCGACGAGTTGCTCAAGATCTCCGAGGAAATTCGAGACGAAGGTGGCGGAGTCGAGAGTTACTTGTGTAGAGTTCCAAGAATCACCGCTGCCTATAGAAGATACTTAAGCGGGTTACAACGCGCGTGTTGCCTGTTGGTCGCCCTTAGACGAAACACGGCATTCGCGAAGCTCGTCTGCGAGCCTGCTGTACCGCACAAGAGACGACCCGATTTGACGGGTGTCTTGCTCTTGCCTCTGGAGCATTACAGGTTCGTTTCAAATTCATAAATCCTCGTATGCTTGAAATCTTGCTCGCTATACGTCGTGTATTCGTTCGAAATGTCCTTAGAGAGATGACGAGACTGTTGGGTCTGGCATCGCCAAGGAATTGCCAGCAAGCCAGAGATCTATCTCAGGGATACAGAGAAGCGACGGCTAACGCCGGTGTGATGGAACCACCGCGCGATACCGGTAGACCTTTGCTCAGTCTGCAAGAAGTTGAATCTCGACTGGTTTTCGCGAGATGCAAACCGTTCACGTTGGCCATGCCCGGTAGACAATGGTGCGTCTTGAAAAAGTATCGAAAAGATCAGAATGAGGCTGTGGTTACAGTGGTTAAATGTTTCGAAGTACCGTCGCTCTGACGAACGATACGCCTGAAGATAAGTAAAGAATAAGAAACCAAATGTATACGTATATTCGTCAGAATCTATATACACACGGTGCGTTTATTATTTATCATTTGTTATGGCATTCATATATCAATCAAGTAGATTGAAGTATATCAAACCATCTAGTAGTATTTTCATACGACTACAGGAATTTGATATTATGATAAATAAAAAATACCTTTTGTAACTATTATACCTCATTGTTGTAGTATATTCGTCAATACACGTAACCACAGCCTGAAAGTGGCTCTGGCATCGTATAAAAGATTACGTGCATCTTTGCAGGTTATTCGGCGGTGCGCTCGCAAAAGTGGAGGGTCGAGCACGACTGCAACCCTCATGGGCCTTACTTCTCACCGACCTTCTCGTATTCGCTCGGGTTTCCCGAGATCGCGTTCTATTCGTAACCGAAGAGCCTCTACGACTATCGAACATCGCCGAGGCTTGTTTCACCGTCCGCAAAAGACCCACTGAATTTCGACTGCAAATCGCTATCAATCCTTCCGGAAGCTCGGAGAACGGTCACGTGGAGGTGAATAGCGGTGGCTGCAGCCCTCACAGTCGTCCGCGACGACGAGTTTTAGTTTTGCGTGCACCGACACCAGAACTGAAGGCCGTTTGGCACAATCTTCTTCAGCGACAGATGTAAGTAGCCTTTGCTCGCATCGAGATGCGCAAGTTTCGAGGAATTCTGATAGGTACAATTCACGGACAGTTTGAATAGTTTTTTAAAGGAACGCTATAAAGATATGGTTTACCGTCACGTACCATGTTCAGAGCTCAACGAGACTCCGACAAGCTCGTCACATCGAAACGTTCGGTAGTTTCGCTTGTCTGTACTAATTCGTTATATTTTAGAATCTATGTAAATACAGGCTATGGTGGAACACCGAGTCAGGACAGTCCAGAAGAAAGTCCCATCACCGGTAGCAATTTCACCAACGCAGCGATTAGGGAGCCTACGGAAAGTTCGCAAGTGAGTAAACGAATGATAAGCAGTTGAGGATTAACTCGAAATCGAGCAAATTATTTACGTATTCTCAATTCGGACAGACTACCAGGGAGTCGCAGAAACAGGACGAGGAAAAGGAATCGCGCTCCGTTGACAGTATCGACAGTATCGTCAAAAGTTCAACGGGAGACAATCATCTGGCGCAATGGGTGCGCAATTCCCATCAAATTCCTCCACCGGATAACGAGGAAGTTCCTATCGAGGAATGGACGGCCGAGGAGTTGGCGGCACGTGCCCCGAAAGAAACCAGCAACGAGCCGAGTCGAGAACGAACGACAGCGGAGGATGTTGTAACGGAAATAATGAGTTCGGATATAGAGCAACAGAGTACAGCTTCGAGCGCGAGCCTCAGTACCGTCAAGTCCAACAGCGTAAACGCGAAGAAAAATGGCAGCCTCGCATCTTCCAAGGAAAATTCCACCAGCTCGATCAACATTTGCAGACGATGTCACAGGTAATAGGAAAATAGATTTTGCTGAAGAACTCAAAATGATAGAAATAAGTAGTAAATGAAATGTCCACTGATAGACGCGCGTGCAATTGTAGATCGGGTTGTCCAACACCGCCTTTGACGAGAGATCCGTTTTCCCCGTTGCCTCCGAAGATCTCAGTTGTCCCGCCAACGCCTGACTTCTGCACCAGGCATCGACTTAGAAATGGATTGCACGATAGCCCAGGAAGGAACAGCCCATCTTACACTCCGGCCGATGGCAACACAGAAGATGGGAGCGAAGACGACCTTGATTGCGATGGCGAGCCACCGTACAGGTAAAGTTTAACGCGAAAGCAAGTTCGAAAGATCGTTCGATGATAATGGTATTTCGTTAATTTTCAGAGTTCTAAGAAGATTCGGTACGGTGAGCAGTTTGGATCAGGACGACGAGCTCGAAGAGCAAGCAGACGATGACAATCGAGATTCCGAGTCTCCACCTACGGGTTTAAGAGCGTGGACGGCTCGAGCAAGCAGTTACGTAGTCAGTAAGAGATCATCGTTACTGGAACAACTCGGCGAAGGCATAGGTGGATACCTTCTTCAATCTCCGGTCCCCCCTGAAAGAACGGAATTCTCGTTGGACCCGAACGACGAGGAAGGAACGACGTCCGGAGCTACCTCGGGGGACGATATCTGGGGAACTCCAACCTCTGGTGGCCCCGACGACGAAAGCTTCACCGCGAGCTCGGTAATGATACAAACCATTTTACGGTAATACGATAGCATTCGAAGGTATCGCTAGGAACACGACCGATTCAACGACACGAAAGATTGCCGAATCTGATTGAAAATCGATTACGCGCGCGCGATATTCTTACTTTCTCTTCAGCTTCGCTTCTTTCGCCGATCTCACGGCTTTTGTAAAAGCTTGTCACTTACGTTATACCGCAAAACAGTCGATGGTCGTATTGCGATCTAAAACCGTGGGAGGTTAAAAAGAGACCGTTTGTATTTTCATTCAGTTTCAATTAAAGCAAATAACGGGATCGAACGAGGCAATAAAATTAGAGGGAGAGAAAGAGGGAGAGAGAGAGTAAACGATTTAAATCAGTTAGTAAGAGACAAAAATTAGTTGGTAAGCTTCGCACGCATCTGCATGACAATGCTTGCCCTTTTGTTTGCAAAGAATCACTAGCCCCAACTGTGCCTGACTTCCCTAGCCGCCGCCCATCGGTTCAGGCAACGTCGTTACTTTTGGCGAAGATAACTACGGCCTAAACCTGTCGGTGGAGGAGGAGGTCGACCAGGAGTCTGAGAACGACGACTGCAATTTGTCGGAACTGAACATGGATCAGTTACTCGGCAGTGGAAGTCTCAGTTCGCTGCGGTGTTTCCTGGGCAGGCAAAGGTTAGAGCCACTCCCGGAGGAGGAAGATTCGTCTGGAAGCGCGAAGGATCAAGTCGGATGGTGGTGACAGCGGTTTCAAACGGCGACGTCGAAGAACGTCGGCATGAGTTCCGATGGGAATGACAGGGATCGTATCTTCGCCAGATTGAGCCAGGAGGATGAAGAGTTCCGGAGAAAGATAGTGAATCTTCATAGAAAGTTGTCGGACGTCGAAGATACTTGCACGACCGAGGTTACGTCGTCTGATATTTCGAAGGAGGCGGAACGTTTGAAGGAACTGGAATCGGTCGCGCGAAGGGCGGAGGAGACTAGAGAGAGCAGAAATGCCGAAAGAATCGAAGCCGAACAAGCAGAGAGGGAAGGATATTTGTCGGCGGAACTCAGAGACACGAGGGATCGTCGATATACACAGGAGCGAAGAAGACGGATGGAATTGTTCGGAATTCAACGAAAAACAGGCAAACTCGACGAGGATTCGGAAGATCAGAACGACACCAGCTCTTCTAGAACGGAGAAAAATTTCTTATACAGATTGAGAATAAAACGACGCAGCATGAAGCTGTTTAGTTTCTTAAGCGGAAAGGCGGCGGATAGATCGCAAGAAGAACGTGCCGCGAGACTATTAAGGATGTATATGCCTGAAAAGGGATCCAAAGCACAAAACACTATTTCTATTCATCATACGTCCAGAGACAGACGATTTTGGAAACTGCGAAGTCGAAGACGAACAAATTCCTCTTAAATGCAAAGGGATGTGCCACCTTCGAAGAACGGTCGATACAGGAAGGAGAAAGGAAACGATAGAACAATCGCCGTTTCTTTGTTATTAGAATTTCCAGTATTCGAGTTATCGAAGTTTTTTGAATTCTATTTAAGCACGTACAAGTTCAGACTTGTTTTCATAGAATCTAGCGTAACGATACGAAAGGTTAGGTTTACAATTTCGAGTCTAGACTACTTCTTCGTCTCGTAAACGATTTCAAAGTACGCCCCGGTACTTTCGTCGAAAACGATTAGTCGAGTAAAAAGTTGCAGAACGCGAGAGTCGCGTTCCGTATTGTAGCGTGCTTGTCAGATTTTTAACGGAACGATTTTTTTCAAGAGATTTAAAACGGTCTAGTGAAACGTTTTCGATATATATATCTTTAAGATGTTTCGTTTAAAGCGTAAGACTGCTCGTCGATCTAGTCTCGCTCATTAAAATATAGACGAAGTTTGTTTCATTTTTGGAACACTGTATCTCAGTAGGTCCGCACGACTGACGCAAAGCGGCACTCATCTTCCACCATAGATCTTGCTCGAACATACGAAACCAAAAGAAATTGTAAAAAAATAAAAAAAAAAGTGGAAAAAAATTGAAATTTTAACATTACTGTTGGTAGGTTGTAACATGGCCAAGTGGCTGTAATCAATATACAAAATAAAGTATATTATTTGTTCACTGGCTGTTTCCCTATTTCCACTCCTGCGGTATCTTACGATAGCATAATTTTAATATTGATTTATGAATTACTGATTTATTTTTTACGTATAATACTTGGTTTTCATGGTAATCCAGCAATATAAAGTATCCAATTTTCTAGTATTGTAAATTGTTCCATTTTTTGTCTATATATATATGTACAGGGTGATTTTTTTGTTAATTAAATCAAAGTAATAAAAATTTTACTTATTTTACTTTTGTTAACAACAAAGAATATCTTTATTTATAGATATTTAAAGAATATAAATAATCGTGTTAATAGAGAAATCTGCTGCAAATTATTTGCAAAGTCTTCTCTAATTGAATAAAGAAAACTGAGATTTATACGACGCGATGTGGCGATCAACGTATTTACAGTCAGTTGCACGTTGTATTTTAGTTTCACAGTACCGTGAGTAGTGAGAGGTTATAATCACAAAAGAATTATTTATTAAAGGCATAGTGACTAAAAGTATGACAATAATAACGCGAATTATATTGAAATTGAGTGCTGCAACTGGCGTAGGTTTTGCTGGTTGGTGTTTGGGGAAGTTTTCAGAACAGAAACGACATTTGAATGCAGATATAAAAAACAGTGGAAGTCATATTATTTCGGATGTAAACATCAAAGAAATGCCCGGTTTACCTTTATTTGGAACTGTTTCTGCAGCAGTTCCTATGGAAGTTGATACAAATATGGGTTCAAAATTGTCATCGACAGCTACAAGAGTATCAGAAGTAAGTTATTTCAGTCATACTTAACCTCGATAAGTAAAGATAAACAGTATGAAAAAATTTACCTTTATTACATTTACCGCTTGTTATGATAATGCTATTTTTTTCTATTCTGTTACTCACGGTTTATTTATGAAATCCTGTAGAATAAAAAAGGAAAAGTAAAAGTAAAATGATTTTCATTTTTTACAGATTATGAAGTATGGTTTCCCTGGATTGGATCATGTTAGATCTTACGAAGATTTTGTCCTTTCTTATGATAGAAGAAATAGGGTAGCTCATTGGGTTTTTGAACACTTAAATAAAGATAGGTTACAACCCAATGAGGAGATATCACGTAGTAAGTGTGAATTCAAACCTGATCCAAGTATACATCCTTTTTTTAGGTAAATATTTGGAGTTTGAAACTATATAGAATATTTTTAATTAATGTTTTAATAATTTTATTGGTAATCAGATCAGAAAATCATGATTACAAAGGCAGTGGATACGATCGTGGACATTTAGCAGCAGCTGGGAATCACAAGTGTGCTCAAAGTCACATAGATCAGACATTTTTCCTAACGAACATGGCACCGCAAGTAGGTGTGGGTTTCAATAGGGATTCTTGGAATAGATTGGAAAAATATGTTAGGCATTTAACCAAAGTTTATAAGGATGTATATGTCTGTACTGGTCCTTTATATTTGCCAAAGTGAGCAAAACTTTGTTACTCTGTGTAATTTTCTTTTTTTAAATATTTCAATTAAATACATGATGATTACAGAATAGAGGCTAATGGGAAAAAATATGTTCGATATGAAGTTATTGGCACAAATCACGTAGCAGTACCTACTCATTTTTATAAAATAGTTGTTGGCGAAACATATGATTCTAAATTAGAAATGGAAGCATTTGTAATGCCAAATACTCCTATAGATGACAGTGTACCTCTAACAAATTTCCAGGTAAATTAATAATATATCAAAATCAAAATTTTATGATATATCCTATATGAATAATCATGATATATATATCGTGACAGGTACCACCAGAAAGTATAGAACGGGCTGCTGGACTTTTATTTTTTGATAAGATCTCACGTGATAAATTAAGTAAAATAAATGGAAAAAGTATTCGATAACCACGACACGAAGGTAAGAGGCAAAAATTGAAATAGATAGAATATTCTATTTCATCTGAATTTTGTAGATACATGAAATTAATTTAATTGAAAGTAAATATATATTTACAAAATAGAAGAGATTTTAGTGAATGATAATATGTATTTACCGATCACTTAAACATCTCTTTAAAAAAAAATTGTACCTGAAAATTTTAAACCTTTTATGTATCCCCTATATAATAACAAATGTACATATAGCAATATACTTTGTATGACTTGTATATGAACTCTTTCTATATGTATTTTATAAAAAGGGAAGATAAATACTATGTTGAAATATTTAAATTTTTATTGTTTTTGTACATTTAGTTTAAATTGTAATAATTATTTATGCACAATATTGCATGTTGTCACAAAATAAGTACTCACGTGAAAAGCGCATGCACACGTAATTTTTAGTACTCAAAATTTCAGTCTTGCAGAAAACATTAATGATATTCACTTTATAATACACATTGAACAAAAGTTATTCTTCATAACTTACAATAAAAGTGATTACTCCTATCATTTCAAGTATAAATTCTCCACATAATTGTGTTTTTGATTGATACCACATTATATGTATAATGCAGCGATTACTATAGTGGATACATCATTCACATCGTGATACTACGATACATGCTTAAAACAAGCATGCTTAGTATTCTGCAATTATTTCAATACATATTCTCTGATTAAAAATTCTTTTTCTACGATGCACACATCAATACGATAAATAGACATTTCTGCTAATCTCGGTCCTATAAGACGAAAGGATAGTACACCTTGGTCAGTATATATGAAAAACATAGTACCAACAATATGTTAACTCTCATTTCTGTAAAGAATAATTATTCTTGGCTATTGAAAAACGATGACACAGTTTTTATTTGCGGTTGTATCGTTTATATTTTAATAGACAAGAAAATTCTTCGCTATTACTTTGGTCGTGGTATTAAGTAATTACATACAAAATAATTCATTATTAAATACTATATTCATAATATAAAATGCTAATGGTAGAATCATTATTGATATTTTCAACGTATCTAATCTATGTACAAATTGAACCAGCACAACGTGTCGATACTGACGAGCGAGTAAATGCACGTACAGTGATTAACGCGTAGCGTGATAACTACCCTTTACAACAATGAAGTCCAAGTTTTTCTCGCGAGTAAACTGGATAGCTTCTACTCCCACGTATCATCTTTTTGTTTTAACAACGAGGTAGAAAAAGAGGAGCCATATATAGATTTCCTGATCTCTTAATGAACTCCCTTTTTTCTATGACAACACGTGAAAGGAAACAAGATCGCGTAAAGGATTCTATCTGTGAACAGCGTTGCTTTACAATATTTTTACAAAGTTCCGGCATCTTCACGACGATTCAAATAATAAAAACACTACGCTGTATTGATATTTAACAGTATTTGTATCATGATTGCCCAAAGTTTAACGAGTAAAACAGTAGTAATGAATATCATTATGCTTTAGAGATCTCGATGTAACGTCTGTGTTCAACACAATTTTGCAATGTACATTTTCGATGCTTTAAATTTACCGCTTATAAATAAAAGCTTTAAGTAGGATCAATTAGGCACTAAAATGGACGGGTTTCGTTTCTTAGGAGCTTCTTCCGAGTATTGCTTAAGTTAAGGACACTTAATGAAGTTTTAAGTACACTTTGTATAACTATATGATTTGTTCAAACCAACAGCACGATTAATATATAAATTCTATGGTACATTTCTCATCTCACTGCTCGCGATAAATCTTTTTCTTTTTTTAAATTCTTTTCTCAATAATTTTCTTGTATATCCCATTTTGACTTCTACCTTATAATCAACTTTTAATTTTACAGGCAGTTTTAATACGTTTCATCTTCAGCGTCGCTTTCGGATGTCTTCAAATCGGTTATCATGTCCCAAATTGCTCATTCAACTCCTTATGTCAATGTGACAGCTGCGTGATATGGTAGCATGGACTAGAAAACGCGCGATGAAACCCCGTATATTTTCATTGATCGTTTGGAAGCAGTTTCGCCGTGAGAACAACACTCCTTTCTCTCTTTAAACAACAAATACTGCGATAACGATGCATATTCCCGGCAGACTAGGATTTTTCGAGACGCGAAACATTCATACTATGTTCCACCGTCACGAAATAAATTCTTAGATTAATCTCTCTTCCGGTGGTGGCTTCATCACATTGTCCATTTCTACACGCGGATTACTGAATTCTTGAGCGCTTGGACTGTATGTTCCTCGAGTAGCACGTTTCTTTCTAGCCATCATGAATAATGCAACTAAAGAACCTGCTGCAATAACGAACAGGCATCCGACGATAGGACCAACGATTACCGCTATATCGAGCGCTTGACTACCCAAAAAGTTTTCCGTCTAAAATAGAACACAACATTTATCGCTCGTAATTGTATGTGAAAGAAATTATTATTCTAAAATATTAGAATGTACCTCTGTACAGTTTTGTCCGGTATAGTCCGGTGTGCATTGACACTTGTAACCGCCGTCATCTCCACATTTGCACGTACCTCCATTTTGACAATAATCCTGTTAAGGGAAGGAATGTGAGATATAAGAAAACTAATCGTCAGTGTAGCGATTAAGAGAAATTATCCGAGAAACAGTACCGCTCTACAAGGATCCATCATTCCGCAATTGTATCCGCAATAACCTGGATCGCAAATGCACTGGTAAGTTCCTGGTAAATTTTCGCACCGTCCCTGACCACAATCGGTCGTTGACAGTACACATTCGTCTATATCAAACGAACAATCCTGTCCTATATAACCGGTGTCGTTACAATCACATACGAAACTATCTACACCGTCGTAGCATTTTCCATCGTTTTTGCATGGTATATTTCCTTCTGCATCTGGCGCGCAGTCATCTATATTAATCTCGCAATACAGTCCAGAATAGCCGGGTAGACAAGTACATCGAGGTGTCTAGTAATTTAAAGTAATAGATTATTACATATTACAAACAATTATACATTAAATCATAGAGGATGAGGGAATAAAAGTATTCGTTTTTATAAGACGAATAAAATTCTCATTGTATAAACCTGATATGCTATATACCTGATGCAAGTAATCGCATCTACCGCCGTTTTGGCACTTTCGTGCAATGCAATAAGGAGTATCACAGATTGAACCTTCGTAACCAGTCGTACAAGTACAAGTGAAGTTGTCGCTAGTTTGTGGATTTACGATATCTGCGCAACTACCACCGTTTTTGCAAGGTTGATTTTCACAAGTAATTAGACGAAAGTTTTCACATCTCTCGCCAGTAAATTGATCTGGACATTCGCAACGGAAATACCCAGGAAGATTTATACATACACCGTCGTGCTGACAAGGGCTAAGGGTTACGCACTCGTTTATGTCACTGTCGCATCTGAAATAAAGATAAGCACCTAAGATAGCGTAAATTTAGTTTTTTCTGATTTTCGATAAGAAACGAGTGTATTGGAATTTGATATAATAGATTATGTTATATACTAACAACCATCCCTGCCAGCCGCTATTACACACACACGTATAATTAGCGATTCCATCGATGCATGTTGCTCCATTCTTGCATTTATTATCGATACATTCGTCGATGTTAAGGGAACAATCGTCTTTTGCGTATCCAGCCGGGCATTCGCAAATGTAACTGTTTGCTTTATCAAAACAGTAGCCGTCATTTTTGCAATCGGAATCGAAGCAAAGTTGACAGCCAATACTATCGTGATACGTTGAATTATTTTCTTGTAATGCTAAGTACTCTAAGGGTGTAAAATTGGCGTTTTGGTATACTTCTTCGTACGTGAAGTAATGCAAAAGCATACTACCAATTCTTACTTCACCCAAGCATCCTTTAAAAACTTCTCCTATAAAATAGAAGACGTATTTTCTAGTCACAATGCAAATAAAAATATATAATAAGTATTACGTAAATATTACGCGTATAATTAAAAAATGTTTATGTACGCTAATATATTACCTGACATTACATTGTAAGGCGGAGAAGCGGTGGTCAATGTACGTTCAGTAAAATCTATCGAATTTTCATTAATACCGCTTTTATTTTCTAGGATCTGTTTCCCAGGGCCGATCGTTATGTAACTATGTTTATTCGATAAAACAGAGCCGAGTCCACCAAGAGTGACCGTTCCGGTAATTAATAAATCATACCACAAAAGAAAACTAAAGTTCGGGCTAACGTGCGATGCATATTCGTCGTTGGAATTTGCATATCCGCATTCCATAGAATTATTGCTCAACCTCAATACGATAGACGTCCAATTACCATCAGGTTCGGCTTTACCAAACGTTAGTATTCCTTGATTCTGCAAGTTCAAGCGCCAAGATACCGTAACCTTGTCCTTGTAAACGGAAACTGTAAAATGCTGATCGCCTATACGAGGCGCAATATGCATTAACGTGCCACCGGTATTCGATCGATACGTAATCTGAATGGTATCGATCGTCGAGTCGGTCACATTTTTCTCTTCAACCTGATTATAAACGTAGGTGAAAGAAGTCGTGACACCGTTAAAAGTAGCATTAGCGATGCACTCGTAACCATCGTCTAGATTTTGACATTTCGATCCAGAAGGACAGTCCTGCAGTTGACAGAATTCCATTTCCTGGCAAGTTTTGCCGGTATATCCTCGTGGACATTGACACCAAAAGTCGTTCCACGTAACGTGGCAAGTTCCATTGTGATCGCATGGACTACTCACGCATACATTGTCGGATATCACACCCTTAAGAATTTTGTCATTATCGAAAGTCACGTTACCAAATTGTATTGGGGTGGGAATATCGTTTGCCTGTAAAGTATTTTTTTATATTACCGCTAAAATATTGTACTGTAATTTATCACGTGCGATGTAATTTTTAGCGAAATTTTGTAATATCGTATCACGCAGATCGAATTGAAAAACGTATCGTTACCTTTAGAGGGAAGAATTCGACGACCATAGTCTCAATGCCATTCGATATTTGAACGTCTTGAATGATTCCTTTGAAGTTAACTTGCGGTACTTGCGGTACTTCTATCTGGCGATTGTCAACTTGCCGTATGTATCTGGATGCTTGTGGCATGCCACCCAAGTATAGTACAGTTACGTTCAATTGACCGGACGCGCTGATAGTTTTCCGGAAATATTCGGTACCGTTAATCTTCACTTGCACCAATGTTACGTTTCTAATTACTTGTATTAGATGATTGTTTCCATCGTTTAATTTTACACCGCCAACGGTGTATGCCTCTGAACCGTTAAATTGAATCCTAACGAGTAATTCGCCTCCTTCTAGTTGAGCTGCTATATAAGTTTTCTCCTGAGGTTTAAGATCCGTTTGTGGATTCGGTTCTGTTCCTAGATAAAATATATCACCCCTATCTTGTCTCGTGCGAATGAACATGGAAATATCGACGATCGATCTAACTGCTCGTCTAGCCATATCGGACACTTTTACGGTTACGTATCCGTTTGTGATATTCTCATATCCGAACGTCGCTGCTGTCATGTTGTATTGACAGGTATGACCAAGATATGGTCTCTCACATTTACAGGAAAAGTCACGCCACCTGTCCGTGCAGTGGCCACCGTTTTTACAACGATTTGGCGAACATTGGGCTTCGCGAGGACATCCTGGCTCAACGTCCTCCATGTATACGGTTTTTGATGAGGTACCAGAGTACACCTGAATTATGACAATTAGGAAATTTTTCATAATTTTGATAAGCTCGTACGACAAATATTTCTTATTTAATATCTTAATTTAAAATTCCATAAATTCAATGTATTTTAATGTGACTGCGTATATCGTTTATGATCAGAAGATATCGAACGTACCCACTCTCCGTTAATGACTACATCCTCGGTGCAACCCACAAAGAAAGATGGGCCATGGGTTAACCGCCGCAGATAATTGGTCGTACCGCCGACATAAGTCATCGGGAAAGATGTATGATTTGAATTGGAACCTTCGTTTAGACTAATGGGATAGATCGTTTGTTCCTCGTTAGCCGAGAGTACTAGATGCGTAGCGTTGATCGCTACAAACACTTTTTGCCAAGTGGAGTCGTTCAATTCACTGCCGATAAATACGCCCTCCCATTTGTTCAGAAGGCTCGAGTGCAAATTTAGCTTGCCATTAACGAGCTCAAGGATATAAAATGTCGAGCCCTTTCCGATGGCCAGTAATCCATTTGGTAGAGTCGTTCGAAAGCGAAATTGTATGTCGTATCCTTCGTCTCGAGTGGTATTCACTAAAACGTATGAGCTGCCGTTCAAAGACATTGTCGTTACCTATGACAAAAAAACAAAAGGAAACGGTATGAATTGGAAGTCAGCAGAAAGTTGCGACCTGTACGTTTACGCACTTTCTTCTGTGTCGCGTATTCATGCGTAAGGCAATACAAGGAGCGTGATCAAGTGAGATAAGCGATGAATTTAAGAAATCGAAACAACTTGTGAATTTGCAGGAAGAAAAGAAATGGCAAGTCAAAATACGTAAATATAAACGATGCTTACGTAGTCGCAAATTTCTCCGTGATATCCATTCGGGCAGGTACAGTTGAATTTATGTATCGTTTCATCCACGAGGTATGGCCAACAAGTTCCACCGTTTTGACAAGCATTTCCTTGACAACCGATCAGCTCTACCGAACAATTTTTACCACCGTATTCTGGCTCACAAGTGCAGGTGTAATCAGCTCTTCCATCGGTACACACGCCGTGCTCGCAGGGTGAATATCTTTTACACTCGTCGATATCGTGTTGACAATGATCGCCTTCGTATCCCTCGTCACATTCGCAAGTGTAACCACCAATGCGGTCTACGCAGGTTCCAGCTTGGCATGGATTACTATCGCACTCGTTAATATTTACTTCGCAGTTTTTCCCCGTAACACCTTGTACGCAAAGACATTCGTATCTGAAAATAAATTGTTAAAAGTACAATTAGTTCTTCTTTCTTCGGATTATTGATTATTCTTTGTCCTTTTACTTCGAGTATCACGATGCTTACCCACTCGCATTCGCATAGCTGAACTCTTGGTTGAATATCGAAGGTAACGTCAACGCGTCACTTTTGTACAATTCCATGTTAGATCTCTCCAAGCAAGTACCATTATACTGACAAGGTGAACTCTCGCATTCGTTTATATCGACTTCGCAATTTTTGCCAGTATAGCCGGCGTAACACTGGCATTTGTAATTCTTGACATCGTCTATGCAATGAGCACCGTTCACACAGGGTCCTGACCGGCAGTCGTCGATATTTTTCTCACAATGTACACCCTCAAAACCGGTGTCGGCACAGTCACAGGTGTAATTGTTTATACCGTCTATACATTGGCCATGATTTAAACAGGGCAATGGTTCACAATCGTCGATATTTATCTCACAGTTTAATCCACGGAAACCAGGTGAACAAATACACATGTAACTAGCGATCTCATCGACGCAGGTTGCCCCGTTTAAACAAGGATTGCTTTCGCATTCGTTCACATCCACGTCGCATGTTTTCCCGGAATAACCAGCTGGACACTGACACTCGAACGTGTTAATACCATCGATACACGTAGCGTTATTTTTACACGGACCGCATAAGCATTCGTCAATGTCGATGTCGCAGTGATCTCCGGAAAATCCCGGTCTGCAGAAGCAATTATAGCTGCCATTTGTATTCACGCAAATACCGTTGTTACATAATGAGCTACCTTCTACCTCGCATTCGTTCACATCCTCCTCGCAAAATTTTCCTATGAATTTGAGTAATCGATTAGTGGCTACAAGTTAATCGACGGAAATTCGAATGGAAAGCTTGAACAAGGCTCTAGAGCACATTTGGCACATTTTTGGGGGAAACCAGGTTGTTTCGCGAGCCCAACTCCTAACGCGTTTCTTGTGTTCGACGCGTGTATTAAAACGAACGACAGGGACTGTAGGACCGTGCTTTGCTATTAATTCGACCATTGACCAAAATGTGCCATCGATCCTTGTTCGAGATTTCACTTCTCAATTTAACATATGAAAATTGAGGAAAATAATTACATCAACAAAAACTTCTTATTGAATTTGAATAAAATATATCTTGTATAAATTCTGTTTAATAAAACGTACCTTTGAAACCATCTCTGCATTTGCATTCAAAACCCTGTTCTCCGCGATCGATACACGTGCCGCTGTTACAAGGTTTCGTCGCGCAATGGTCAACGATAAGGGTACAATTGGGATCTCTGTAACCCTCGCGACATTTACACTCGTAACCAGCGATACCATCAACGCAAACTTTCCCATCAGGGCATAGCACATCGACGCAGTCGTCCACATTCACGTCACAAATCTTGCCTTCAAAGCCGCGAGGGCACTCGCAAACGAATTCTCGTCGAGACCTTGGTATCAGCGTGCAATTCCCATTATTCTGGCAAGGATTTGACGCGCACGCATTGTACTCGCGTTCGCAATTTTCATCCATGAAGTCTTTCGTACAGTTGCATATGTATCCATTGATTCGATCGATACAAGTACCGCCGTTTTGACAAGGTTGTGATAAGCACTCGTCCACATTGATCTGACAATTTTTACCTAGTGACATTAAGATATCGTTTTATTAAACGATATTTATGTTCCGTTTATAGAACGATTTAAAAGCAAATAACAGATATTTCGTTCGCTTGTGATAAAGTTCCGTCGTTTAGAAAATAAGAAATATCTGTTATTTGCATTCTCGATTCATCCTTTCCACTCTAGATAGCGAAATTAAAATTAAAATATAACGTAGAGATAATTCGCGGATGATTCGTTCGTTGATGGAGGAATAAGCGCGAGTAGTTAGAATATCCAATCCTTGATGCAGAGTAGATGAAACAAATTCGAGCGGCAATGGATGAATGTCAGTCACGCATTACGTATATGGTAAAACGAGTATTATCGTAGAATTTGACAAGCAAAGCGTCGTGCAAGAGTTCGCGAATAAATTGATTACCAGTGTATCCTGGAAGACATTGACAGTAGTAGCTATTCTGTTGATCGATGCAGATGCCGCCGTTACGACAGGGATCACTGGAGCACTCGTCGACGTCGATGGAACACTCGGGGCCTGTCCATCCTGGCTCGCAGGTGCAATAATAACCGCC